AGAGGAGCTGGGAGAAAGCCGGAGAGGCAGGAGGAGGGAGGAGGAGTGGAGTCTTGTCCTTGCCTAGGCAGCCTGGGTCCCACCCCTGGCTGGCTGCAGTCCCTGGTCTGGCACCAGGATGTGGGCCTGTGTCTGCAACTCCTCTCCTCTTCTGACTTCTGCTCCTCCTGCACCCTCTTGTCTCCCACCGCCCTCATGCCACAACTTCCGGCCCTCCTCACTTGCCCCTAGGAGAAAGTCCCCAGGCCAGAGCTGGGGTTGGAGGGAGCTGGAGAAGGACTCCCAGCTGTCTTTCCAGACACACGCTGGAAACTTCTCCGCCCTCTATCCCTTCTCTCTATTTTTAACTAGAAGGAAATAGGCTTTTTTTTTTTTTCATACCATCAAATTATAAGCACTTTATTCATAAATGCTTTTTTTTAAAAAAAAATTCTGACACTTGGTATAATATATCAGCACATATTTTAATAGTAAAATAAAAAATTAAGCTTTTATATGATTGGCGTTCAGTGTTTTCAGTAAAATTGTCATTTTACTTTTTCTTTTTTTTTGGAGAGGTTTTTGCCATAGGGCGTGTGCGCTCGCCAGACAGATAGAGACAGAAAGACAGAAAGCGAGAAATCACCCCCCACGGGGAATGGCCATGCCACAATCCCTACTCCTCCCTTCTCCTCTCGGGATCTTGGGCACGCACGCACACGCGCCCGGTGTGAGTTTTAAGCCACTGGGCCTGGGATGTTAACCGTGGTCAACTACATGGGAGTCCAGCGACATAGCCATTACGCTAACTACTGGTCCCAAAATTGTCATTTTAGTTTATTAAATGTATGTTTCATTTTACGTTGAAATGAGACTGTAGGTTTTTCTCTTCAGTGTCACATTACTTATAAAAATACAATAATTGGTTGGTATTAATATTTCCTTTTGCCATTAAAATATTAATATGTATACACAGCTTTTGCTTCTTTCTTCTTCACAGAATCCTTGTAATCTCATAATCACAAATAATTATTTTAATTTAGAGAATAGCATTTCCCTTTATTCTTGAATTCCCAGTTTCTATTGAATAGTGCCCATTTAAAAATATTTATATATATTTTTTAAAATTTATTTTATTTATCATTGTTATTATTATTTTTAAATTTGCTACAGAGCAGGCATGCTCACCAGAGAAAGACAAAGAGACAGAGAAAGTGAGAAAGCAAGTTGCAGGTCTGAGACTTGAACTATGGTCGACCACGTGGGAGTCCACCACCCTAACCACCATGCCACCTGCTGGGCCCAGAATAGTGCCCATTTTTGGCATTACAATTTTATTTGTCTTTATTTTTTTCACTTCTTCTCTCTTTGCTATACCTACCTGTCCCTTCTTCTCACTGCCCCCAATTTTTTAAACTTAGCAAGTGGAGAGTATTTAACAGTGAATTATGGCCAAATCCAGATAGCATGCCACCCAGACCCAGGTGGTAGGCCCACTGGCCCTGTGAGAGGAGATTTAGAAGTGCACAGGAGTCGGTCACCTCAGGCAGGTAAGGCAGAATCAACGACGGGAAGATCTGGAAAGGACGCGTGAGAAGTTATTTAATCCAGTGACATATTCAGCATTAAGGCCTTACGTCTGCAGTACACTGAGTTGTCGGAAAAGTCGCGACGCATTTTTGCATAGAAAAATATAGAAAAAATACATTGCGACTTTTCCAACAACCCAATAGTTCCACGTTTTGGCAACACACCGCGATACTAACAGAGGGTCCAACAGAGGGGCAGCTCCTCAGTGCATTCAGGAAGGGGCCCTGGTTCTGAATAAGGTATGTTGTGAACTCACGCCATGGGACACTCCTGTCACAGAGCATGGATAGCCCACGGGAAGGTTTGTTGCTGAGACACCCTCTCTGACGCTCGTGGGTGGATGGACCGATATTTCAGAAAGTCTATGGTTGGGCTGAAGCTCATCCAGGTGGGTGAGACACCCGTTAGAGAAAGGAATTCGGAATTCTCCCTTCACTCTCAGATAAAGTTAAATAAAATAGTTCTTTTTAAAAAATAGTATAAGAAACACAGATGCAGATCTGAAGAAGGAGCCACCGTCCAAAACTGAGGGACTGGTGTGGCCTCAAAGGGTGCGCAAGGCAGGCAGGGATGGGGAGGGCGTTCTGCTAGAGCATGTGACCAAGGCGTGATGTGGGCGTGGTGGCCGCAGATGCATGTCACAGTCCAGGGCGCTGGTGGGTGGGGTGGCAGCAGAATGTCTGGAGCAGGTGACGGTGGTAAGGAGAGCCCATACGAGGCGGGAGAGTGGGTGAGGCCCAGAGTGTGGAGAGGAAAGGGAGTAGAGGCTGAGGTGTTGTAGAAAAGTCGGGGAGCTCTCTGTTCTCCACTCTGGGAAGCCTACTCATTCTCGTCAGTTCTTTTCTAATCTAGCTGCTGCCCAGAAACAACCCTTCTCTTCTTGTCCTCTCTGTGCGTTTTTGTCCATGGGGTTACCCATTGTTTTTTGATTTGTTTTTATTTTATTGCTGTGGAGTGCACGCACTGGCTAGAGAGAGACAAAGACAGGAAAAGTGAGAAATCACTCCCCAGGAGAGAAGGGCCGTGCAGCCATTCCTTCTCCACTCCCCTCAGGATTTGGGGCATGCATGCATATGTGCCTGGCTTGTTTTTCAAGCCACTGGGTCCAGAACTCAAACTGCACCGTCGGCCATGTGGGAGTCCAGCGCCCTTAACCACCACGCCACCAGCTGGCTCCATCTGGTTAACAGTTTATCGTATTATTTTATGGTTAGGGTAGACGTCTTCCTCGTTCTTTTGTTTTTAGTTTGCTCCAGGGTGTGTGCGCTTCACAGAGAGAAAGAGTGAGAAATCACACACCCTGCTCCCCCAGAGGCCACACCACAATCAGTCCCTTCTCTCTCTTTTTTTGATTTCTTTTTTTTTCTTTCTTTCTTTCTTTTTTTTTTTTAAGAGATTTTTAGCTATAAGGGCGTGTGCGCTCGCTAGACAGACAGAGAGAGACAGAGAGACAGCGAGAAATCACCCCCCAGGGGGGATGGCACAATCCCTTCTCTTCCATTCTCCTCTTGGGATCTTGGGCATGCACGCACATACGCCTGGCGTGAGTTTTAAGCCACCGTGTCTGGGACGCGAACCGCAGTCAACTATGTGGGAGTCCAGCGACATAGCCATTACGCTAACTGCTTGTCTCATCAATTCCTTCTCTTCTAGTCTCCTCCTGGGACTTTGAGCACACAAGCACATGTGCCTGGCATGGTTTTTAAGCCACTAGGTCTGGGACCTGAACAGTGCAGTTGGCCTTGTGGAATCCAGCATCTTAACCTCCACGCTACCTGCTGACCTCCCTTTTTTTTTTTTTTCTATATTTTCAAAATAAATTTGTTTCTTCTGTGAGATAGAGAGACAGAGATAAACAGGCACCCCCAGAAGGGTCTCATCGCACTAAAGTCACCTCTCTCTTCCTAGTTGCAGCTAGCCAGGGTCATGGGTGCACTCATATCTGTGCCCAGTCATGTTTCAGGGTGACCCGGGATTGGAACCACAGTCTTCCTTGTGGCCCCAGCACTGCAGAAACATTGCCTGCGTCACAGTGCTGGCCAGGATGTCTTCTTGATGAAGGGGATTTTTGCCCCACCAATTTAGGTTGGTTGGCGGCCTAATATATACCAAAGAAATGTTTCTTTACTGAGGCCATTCTGCGGCTTAACTGAAGTATCTCACGATTTTAAAATTCTGAAGATTCTGTGATTCTAAATAATAGCAATTTCCACTCTGGTTTAGTTTTATTTAGTCTAAATGACAGAAATTGTTACCGTTGACACTTAAGATCTCCTTGGGCATGATAGCTTGTTTGGCATGAATTACTTTTTTTCCTAAATGTAATTTGTTTAAATTCAAAATTCTTTGTCTAGGAAAGTGAAATGTTCACATTTTGAAACTCTAAAAATAAAACACTAGAGGGATGATGCCAAAACAATGGTTTCAATCAGAAGTGCTCTCAGAATTCAGCACTTAAAGGGGAACTAATTACTGAATCGGATCACGGTTACTAGGCATTCATTGTTTTAAGGTAATTAACGACAGTATTGAGAAACCTAAGTAATGAAAGATTTTCAAACCTTCCATTTTATTCAGATTTCTAATGAGTGATGATTCTCAAATGTTCCTGATGTGCAAGGTGTAATATGAATGATTCTTTCCTATGATAAAGTTTTAAAGCTTTACTGAGGAATATATGTTTTATTCTTGTAGTGGATAGATAGGGTCTCCCAAAATCAAATCACACTGATCAAACATTATTGTATATAAGGTTAATGGAGAAACAAGTGCTCTTAATGTCCCATGGAATTTACTAAATGTACTGAAATAAAATTTACTAAGGTAGTTTCGTGCAAATTTGAGCAGAGAAAGACAAGATTGAAACGAGCTTGGGGCCAGCTTTATAGCATAGTGGTTAAACACCTGAGATCTCACACCAGCTGTGGTTCGAGTCCCAACCCCAGCTGTCTGGAAAACACTCCACACATACTTCAAGGGATCTTCACAGGATGGAAGAGAGAGGTTTGTAGTGTGACCTATCCTAGTTTGGGGGTGCTGTCTGTCTCTCTCTGTAGGGAATGTTTGTGTTTTCTGGCAATTAAAAAAAAAAAAAGAAGAAACTAACTTGCTTCTGTAAAATTGGTTTCTTAAGAGATACAGATTTAGAATGAGAACGCTCTGGGGAACTTCTCTCCACAGTCACTGTTGTCTAGCCAAGCTAAGCAGTATTCATTTTGGAAGCATTTTGATTTTGCTTGGTTCTTTACTCTTAATTTGGAAAGATTTGCTGTTTACTTCATATACGAGATAGAAGATAGTTAATAATAGAACCTATCTACGTATTAGCGAAATTTACGATCCACTTAGTAACTTAATAATAAGCTTCTGAGGTCATTTGTGTTCTAGATATAAACTGTTAAATAATTTAGTGTTCATTTTTTTTTCAACAGATGTGAATTATTAACATGAAAATGGCCCAACGGAGCGCTGTATTTCCTTCTCTTGTCACCGAGGAAAGGTATAATATATGGAAAATATGCATCTAAGGTATACTTTTTCTTTCCACCAATCCCATGAGGGTTGCTAGGGGGTGTGATGGTCGTTATAAATTAAGTCTTGGGCTGTTTCATTATCCAGAATGGTTTTGTTCAAGGGCAAGAGAACTATTGCGTCCTCCCTCCTAACTTGCAGCTGGTAGGGTGCTGCGAACCCCTCAGTGAGCCCGTTGGCTCAATGGTGATTTCACAGCAGCTGTGCAGTAGGGTCGGACTTCCTGTCAACAGTGAAATGTAGCTCCAGAGGCCTGAGGCTAACACCCCTGCTAACCTCTTTAAACCCGAAGTTGCAAACTAGGTGTCTGTAGGCCAAAATTGGGTCGTGGAAGTACCTTGCTTGGCTTGCATGAGCTTCAATGCTGTGTGTGTGGTGGGCTTTTGCTTTTGTTTTTGTTTTTGTTTTGGTTTTAGACATCTCACTCTCCTGCCTCGGTCTCCCAAGTAGCTGGGGCTCTATGCATGTGCCACTGCACCCAGCTTTTCAGGATGGGCCAGGAATCAAACCCAGGCCTCTCTGGTGGCCTCAGCCTGCCAAGCAGCAGCATCCAGCCCTTGCTACTGTGGCCAGGCCATACTTTAAAAATGAATTAGCAACAGTTTAAAATCAGGTCATTTTCCTTCCAAAGTCTGTATTTCCTAGATCTTCTTCAAAAATGGACCAGCATTCCCCGGATAGTCACTCAGGAATGGAACACGATTGTGATTTCCTTTGGGTGGGGGGTGCCCTTTCCGGTTCTCAAAGTCCCCACCACTCCCTATTGCTTTGTACGTGGAGTGCTTGACCCACGCCATGCCCTTGTGTCCCCTGCCTGGCCTCTATAGGCGTTTGGGGTTGTAATGCTGCTTGGGATGGCAGGAGAGGAGGGGGACAGAATGTGAGGAGACCCCGTTAGTCAACTTGACGGTGACAACAGTTTATGCTGGGGAGGCATCGTGGCCTGTCCAGTCCTACCAGCCTCTTGCCCTGGGAGGCCTTGAGCCTGCTGCCATCACACTGGAGCCTGTGGGCACGACTACGTAAAGATCTCGCCTGGCTCGTGGAGCACAGTCTGTTGGGTGCAAATCCTGCCTTGCATCCCATGTAGCTTGGAGGGATAGATCATTTGTATTTCCTTCTCCGGCGAGTCTTGAATGTAGCTTTACCGGTTATTTATTTCGTTTTACAAATGATTTTCCCCCGGTTAACAGCCCTCGTAACACGGCCCCCTCCTGCAGGCGAGTTAGGACCATGCCCCGACACAGCCAGTCCCTGACTATGGCTCCCTACTCGTCCGTAAGCCTTGTGGAGCAGCTGGAAGACAGGATCCTCTGCCATGAGAAGACCACCGCCGCCCTGGTGGAGCACGCCTTCCGGATCAAGGACGACATCGTCAACAGTTTGCAGAAAATGCAAAACAAAGGGGGAGGCGACCGCTTGGCCAGGCTGTTCTTGGAGGAGCACATCAGAAACATAACGGCCATCGTGAAGCAACTCAATCGGGACATCGAGGTGAGGCGTGTGAAGGGCAGGGCAGCTGTGTCCCTCTCCCCAGAACTGCTCAGGTCAGGTCACCCCAGTCTCATTCTCACCTCCCAGGCAGTAATACATGTAGACCAAAGCTGTCTGTCTTGCCTATATTTTAAAAATAGGTTTAAAAATGATTTATTTATTTATGTTTATTTATTATGCCAGAAGGTGCATATACAGGAAAGAGAAAGAGAGGAAGAAAGGTCCCCTCATTGGAGTTCTGTCATGCCACAGTCCTGTGTCTTCCAGTTCTCCATCCTGTCTAGATCCTATGTATACCAAAAGTGTTTTTCTTTTTTTAGAGTTATTTATTTTATGTATTATTATTAATTTTTAACTTGACCAGAGAGAGAGAAAGGAAAAGTGAGAAAGCAAGCCACCAGTTCTGGGACTTGAACCATGGCTGGCCATGTGGGAGTCCAGTGCTTTAACTACCATATCACCTGTACCTCCAAACAGGTTTTGCAAGCTTCTAGGGTCAGGACTAGAACCCCGGTTGACCATGTGGAATCTGGCTTCCTCTGCAGTGTTTAACCACTCTGCTACAGGGCGGGCCCTGTCTTGTCTATTCGTAATGATCACCAAGGAAACGGTTTGCACAAATATCCTAATTAAATGTATTCCAGTATTTGATAGCAGTAACTGGCAGTGTTATTTATGTTTCATCTAAATTTAACCCGCCGATTATTAAATCATTTTGTTTTGTTTGACTCTCAATGCAGAGAGACAAGAACTAGGTAAATAGTTTCCCTGTAACACCCTTCGTATCTCTGAAGACAGCTATTAAATCAATTACTAGGTCGGCCTTTGCTGCTTGAGACAAAGTGTTTCTGGGTCATAGTCATTATATGTAACAGAGTTTATTACTCAAGCAATTTAAGTATTTCAATTGCTTCTCAGCTTCTCTTATTTCTCTATTTTTTTTTTCCTCACATGAGCCCAATACAAGGCCAATATTGTCTATTTTTAGAATTTGTAAACTTACTGTTATTTGTTGAACAGTCACAGGGGTCACATGATGTAATTCAGAAAGCTTAGGATCCTGTGAGGCCTGGGCTTCCATCACTGCACAATGCTCTTATCTTCCATGTGTAATTTTTATTTTTATAGTTATTAGTGTTTTCTTCCATGAATGTGTGCACATGAGCGTGCACATGCTCAAGAGAGAGAGAGAGAGAGAGGGAGACAGAGAAGAGGCAGCATCTGCAGCGGGGTCCTGATGCCGTCATTCAGCCTTTGCCTACATGGATCGTGGGCAAGTGTGCACTGGGCGAACTCAGGGAGGTTGCTGGACTTGAACTGGGAACTTTCCATGTGGGATTACCTTGCAGAGTATAGTTTTTTATTCATTTATTTTTTTTTAATTATTAATTTAATTATTTATTTTAAATGTGACCAGAGAGAGAAAGAGAAGGAAAGTGAGAAAGCAAGCCATCAGGTCTGGGACTTGTTGGAGTTCAGTGTCTTAATTGCCATGCTACCTGCTGGCCCCCAGAACACAATGTTTAAGTGCTATCCTACCATCTGGCCCCACATGTAACTATTTATTTTTTTAGAGAGAGATTTTTGCTATAGTGTACACTTGCTGGAGGCAGAGACAGAGAGACAGAAAGCAAGATATCACCCCCGAGGGAGGATGGCCATGCTTCAGTTCCTTCTCCATTCTCCTCTTGGGATCTTAGGTACGCAAGCACACGTGCCCGGAGTGAGTTTTAAGCCATTGAGTCTGGGACTTGAACCATGCTCAACTACATGGGTGTCCAGCAACGTAACCACTACACCATCTGCTGGTCCGTCCACATGAAATTATTAAAGATACGAATAAAAGATGGATGGCTAGATTAAGGAAAACCTTATTTTTTCCTGTCATGGAACTTTATCTTAATTATGCTTCTTGAAATGAAGCCTCATTTCTTTTTTATCCCTTATTGTCAAATTTGTATGTTGTTTTGTAACAGCTTTATCGAAACATGGCTTAAGTGCCATGGAAATTCACTCATTATAAAAGTACAATGAAGTGATTTCCAGTAAATGTATAGAATTGTACCACTATCGATGTAATTCCATTTTAGGACCTTAACATCACTCTCCAAAATTCACACAGCTCTGTCTGCAGTCCATCTCTACTGACGTCCCAACCCAGACAACCCTTCATCTGCTTTCTGTCTCTGTCAATTTGTCTTTCTCTTGGACATTTCATATAAATGGAATCACACAGTATGAAGTCCTTTGCCTCTGGCATCTTTCCCTTAGTGTAATCTTTTTGCAACTTGGTCATGTTCTAGCAGGTGCTACATTCCTTTTTATGTTGGAGTTGTATTCTGTTACATAGATATACCACAGTTACATAGATATACCACAGTTACATAGATATACCACAGTTACATAGATATACCACAGTCTGTTTATCCCGTCATTAGCTGATGTATCCGCAGGTTATTTCCAGTTCTTAGCTACTGTCAGTAAAGCTGCTGTGAAGATTTGCTACATTTAAACAAACCTTTGATGTGGGAATATGTTTGTATTGCTGAGGGGCAGATTATTACTAGTGCAATTGCTGGGTCTTATAGTGAGTGTATGTTTAATTTTTTAAAACATAGCCAAACAACTTTTCAAAGCGGCTTTACCATCCTACCAGTTCCACTT